ACATTTCTGATCTCTTGACTTCGGTGTTGGAAATAAGCAAGGAGGCTGAAAGCAATAGGATTTGGGACAGGATATCCTTCGAATTCTGGGGAGTGGAAGCGCAAAGTGAGAAAGACTGAAAGCGAAAACTGCAGTTCCTTCTTCCCTCCCACCAGTTAACTTCCCCCCCAAATTGGAGAGCAATTTTCCAGATTGCTGTTGAATGTGGAACTGGAGATGTAGAAATAGAAACAGCACCATATTAGGTAGAAAGTGGAATTGAAAGGATTTGGTATATTCAGTCAGAAAACTATATATAGTCCCATGGGGAGGGAGGGACTGAGACGTATGCTTTCTGGAAATGGCAACTCCTGCAGTCTCAGATTCTGTTACTGAGTCAGGACTTAAGATTGTAGTGGTGATTGTGGAGTGTGTATATGTACAGTGTTCATTACCAGTGTCAGGTTCCCTTTGGCACAGTCGTGCTGTGCAGCAGCAAGGATCAGGTGGTGTGTGTGTGTGTGTGTGTGTGTGTGTGTTAGTGTTAAAGTGGGGGTGTGGGGAACCAAAGATCTGTTCTTCATCTGTTCCAAATCAGTCTTCTGGCAAAGTGCTTTCCACTTCTAATATGAAGTGGTTCACCACCACTTTTGCTGTCACTTTGTTCTTAAATACTGTGGCTTTGTACACCCTGCTTGTCCCTTCCCTCAACCTTCTGTTTCCAAAGCGAAAGCCTCAGCCTTTCTGGCATTCCTCCTGTAAGGGAGCTGCTCCATCTCTTTAATCCCTCCAATTGCCCATCTGTACGCATTCTCTAACTCTGGTGCATCATCCAGGGATGTGGCGAACACAACCACGTGCACCATCAGGATGCAAATGTAGCAAGGCTTTATGCAGTAGTAAAAATGGGGAATACTCATTCTTCACTGCTTTCCCCATAGGTCTACCTTCAGTACTAAGCCAAGGTCCAAGATGTGTTTCAGAAGCAATTTATTTCATAATTCCATTTGTTAGCTGCAAGTGCTCTCCAAGGTCGTTGGCTTTAGAATTAAAATGAAGAAGTTGATTTATAATCTCAGAGATTGAGAATAAAGGGAAGCAGCAGAGAAACCAGAACTCTTGAGAATGCGTTTGCTTTCCACTGACTGTTAGTGGTACTTCCAGTAGATGCTGGTTGCTTAGCTTAGGAGAAAGAAAGCAGTGATTTGGGAATTGGAAATATCTCTTCTGTTTTCCCTAGAAGAAAGCAATCACTTACTCTGAATTTGACTTTTTTTATACGTAAATTCTCTTGCACATTGATAAATCATTTTTTGAAAAACCCAGGAGTTCTTGCATCCCCAGAAGATTCCTTACAAACACTCAGATAGTTGCCTCTGTTGGAAATAAGGAGTTTTAAAAGTGCTGTTCTAAGTGGGGGAGAAAAAACAACTGTTAATGATTCCTAATGTGCACAAATGTGAGCAGCAAGGATCACTGCCAGTCCAAAAAGGAACTTCACTGGATGTGTTCCCCTTTGAGATGCTCTAAATGTGGCTTACCTCCACTGCTGCTTCCTCAAGTACAGAAAATAATGATAGAAACCACACTAGTGAAATCACCTGTGTTTTCTTCTCTCGTTTCTCCTCGTGCTCTGCTGTGACATCTCATGCTTCCTTGCTTCTTTTTCAGGCAGTTGCGTGTTAGATTAAGCATGCAGAGCAGTAAGTAGCCATCTTTTTGGCCAGCATGGGGCTACTTCTGATGCTGTCAGTCTAGAGGACAGTCTCCCATCCCTGGAGGTGGTTGCTTCCAGCTAGGGCTGAGACTGCTGTTCCCTCAGCCCTCCCCAGCACTCCACTGAAACGTTCATTGTTGGTCCCACGTTAGGTCTAGTTATAACAGCGCTGCCAAAACCCTCGGCTCTTCTTTCAGAAGGACATTAACATCCAGCACACGAGCGCTTCCTGCCTTGTGTTGGCTCGCTGGTGGCCTCTTGCTGCACATGAAGCAGATGCTAACTGCTGCATGTGCTGTGCTCTGGCTGCTTGCTTTGCTGAGTGATGGCCTTTTTTGACAAAAATGATGGTTATTTCCTATTACCCGATTGCATGTTATTGTTGTACTAATGGCTAAAACTTGATTTATTTATGTAAATTTGCCTATAGAAACGTGTCACCTGAAAAGCAGGCTGTTGTTTTTCAGAGCTAGCCCCATTGTGTCTTTTGGCAATATGTAAAACTGAGTTCTCCTGTGAATTTTCATAAAGATAAACATGCGCATAAGGCACAGCTTATATTGAAACAAAAAGATTTGAGACAGTAAGTGACAGGAATACCAGTGAGCTAGTTAAGTGCAAATGAGCCTTGTTTAATACTAAACATGTTTAGAAGACTTGTAGGAAAAAGTGTGGCAATGGCTGCTGCTGTGCAAATGGGGCTGTTTGTCCTAATCCTGATCAGTGAAGGGGGAAACAGAGCTTTGCAAATATTAGCAGTAATTTTGCATAGTGAATAATCTGCTCCATTAGTTACTTAGATTGTTGATATTTTTCTTTTCCAGTCGCTTAGGAAAATCTGATTGTCAGAAAGCTGGGATGCTTTTTCTGCCAGCACTGTGTGTATGTTATGGAGGGCAGGATGAGATGCTGTTAGCTTTGCTGTTTTGGCTTTGCCTGCCTTCCTCATAACCACCAAACACATCTGTGCAGGTGGTGCTTCATTTCTGCATCAGTTTTCTCCCTGCAGTGTCTTTGATGCTGTTTGAAGGTCGCAGGTCTCACAATCTGTTTTGGTGGTTGATGCTTTTTATTATTTTTTTTAATGGTATGCTAACTTTTACAGACATATGGAAATGCTCATTTGTTATGTCTATGGTATATCTTTTAATTAAAAAAAATAGAACTAATGCTAGAGAAGGAAACTACTCGAGGTGAGACAGTGTTCTATTCCAGTAACTTGGCTTTTCACCAGACATTGTAATAAATTATTTTTTCTGCAGTAGCAGAAGGCTGAACGTATAAATTGAGTCCAGGCAGATGAATTGCTGCCATCAGTTTAGTTGTGCTCTACCTGAATCCACGGGGCAGCAAGCAGGAGCTGAGACTGCAGTTCAATTAAGACGGTGGTACAAGTAAATCCTTTCTTTTGTTAGGTGTGCTTTCGATTATACAATTCTCACATAGAGCAGAGTGAGCTGACAAGACAAGTCTGGAACGATGCTTTTGTTCTGGCTATTTAGAAGGAGGTGAGGCTTGGGGACGTCTGGGGAGGAGAGAAGCAGCCTGGCTGCTTTACTGCTTGCTTTTTCTCTCCCATTTTATATAAATAGATGCGTGCGCATCCATTTTATTCCCTTATTCCCCAGTCGTAAGCACGTTCCTTTTCTTTGCCTTTCTTTGGGACTGTGATTTGGCAGGCTCGGCCTGACTCGCTCTATCTCTCCTGTAGCAATCAAGCAGTGGTGGAGGAACTGTCTCCTGCAGTGCTTTGGGGAATTTTAGGCACCTGAGTTAAAAGGCCAAGTTATGAGCTGCTTCATTGAATTACTGCATATCGTCAGGCAGCATATCAAAAGTCCTTCGTCTCCATAGTTTAAAAATAACTTGATGATATCTCTCCTCTACAAGGATTTGAAAACTCTGTTGGCATTTGAAGTTCTCTTCCCTTGAAAGCAGTGCAGTGCCTTCAACTGCTGCTCAGCTGTGGCAAGGGGTAAGAAACGCGAGCTGTGGCAGCTGTGAGTGCTGCCTGAAGAGCCCTCTTCTCTTATAATTGGTTTGTCACTTTCTGACTGTAGAAAGGTACCATAAGTACCCCTGCTCAGGATTTTTCAGACTATGTGAGTGTGAAATCTGCTCAGCTTAAACTAGGTGTTATCTGCTGTCAGTAAGAGTGTGCTGTCTGGTTCACAAATGCTTCTTAAGAGATTCTGATACGGACAGTGGAGATTGAAATTAATTATTGAATGGCAAGCAATGGAAGATTGCTCAGGTGGGAGTCTTGAGAAGAGCTGGTGACTCGTCATAGCAACATAGACACTGAGAGTAGATGCTACTTCAACCTTCTTTCTAGGAGTAGCACCGAATTTTAATCTCTCTGACAGTGATGCTCCTGAAACTAGTTAGGTGTCTGCGCACATCTCTCCTGCCACACCTTGTGCAACTTGGGCTACAGGCTGGTAAGAAGCTATTTCTAGAAAGGAGATTTACTTTTCTGGCTACTAGATGTTAAATATGTTTCTTTCAAGCCCTTTCAAACAGTGGAAATAGCAGTGAATTGAGCTGTGTATACCCTGTTGCCTGCCTTTCCCTCAGACGTATGTCATGTACGACCGCAGGCTTTTCTCATTTGCAGCTTAACTTTGTTATAAGGTGACTGCTTTTACTTGCTGCTTTGTTGATATCTCTTACAAACTTGCCCTGCAGTTCAAGAAAATAAGTGCCTCTGTTTCCAAGAGCAACCCTAAGTGGAAGTCATAGCATGTGTGTGTTTTACAGTATTGATGATATATGTCTCAACCCTCTGTTGTTGCTTAAGGAATTTAGAGGGCCTTTTCCAGACGTCCTGATTTGTTCTGCATTAATACATAGAGTTCACCAAGCTGCTGTACAGAATTGCTGAAGGATGGAGCAGTGCATCCAAAATAAATCAATGGGCAGGCATCCTGCAGCATCTTGTTTGTAGACCGTGCCGCTGAATGTAAAGCAAGTTTCCTGGGCGAGCCGTCAGCTGTGATGTTTGGGTACCTTGTAACGTAGCTGGTGTAGTTGAACTGAAAAACCTTTAGAGCTTCTGAACAGAAGTTCATTTTGTAGAACGAAAAGTGGATGTGCTTGGAGGGGATGATTAGAAAATGGTGCTTGAGAGCAAGAACTCTGTGGTTGGTACCACACCTTATATGGTGCTCTGTGCAGCATATTTGCTAACTGCAGTCTTAAGAAGGCTTATTACCTCTGCCATACTGAGATGTACTTACCAGCAAGGTATTTTATTATCTGAATATGTGTCATGTGATTCTCAGTCTGTGCTTTTCTTTCCTAGTATTGAGTTTGATCGGGACTGTGACTACTTTGCCATCGCTGGGGTGACAAAGAAGATTAAAGTCTATGAATATGGTACAGTCATTCAGGATGCAGTGGATATTCACTACCCCGAGAATGAAATGACCTGTAATTCCAAAATCAGGTAGGCACTGACTTTGCATTTACACTCAGACTGCCTTTTCCACTAGCTTGCTTGTGTATTGGTTTGGTTGGTTTGGTTTGTGTTTTTTTTGCTTTCTTTATATGCCGTCAGTAATACTTGGCTGGGAGGGAAAGGGTGGAAAGCAAGATCTGGCAGAGAGCTTGCTGTGTATTCTGGGTGGGACAACATGGCACTAAGCACTCCTGCTCAAGTATGCTGGGCCCAAGTATTCAGAAAAAGCAGCTTATGGTAGTGAGGAGCCTTCGTGTTCTTTGCAAATGCTGTTGGATATCCACTTGGGTAAAAGGAGAGTAAAACTTGAGTTGTGGATCTATGGGCAATGTCAGAGCTTATACAGATAACTTTTGTCCCCGGTTCCTTATAACAGCCACCATTTCATTTGTGCTCTTCTACTCATTGGTAAGATCCCCTCCATTGCAAAAAAAGGTTAATGATCCCCAGGAAACGTGCCTCATTTGCACCTTCTGCCCATGAATTTACATTTGCCTGATGGGCCTCATGATGTTGAGCTCTAGGGAAAAAGTCTTGCATGATTTTTGTAGTTCTGTTGTTACTGTCACTGTTTCTTTTTTAATCCCTGTAAGTGACTTAAGCCAAAAGAAGTGTAGCCTATCCCACAACTTCTATCAAAAGAATCCAGCTAACGTAACTTTAAAAAATCCCAATTCAAAAATTCGATTGAAATTCAAAAGTAAATAATGGAAGCAATCATGTCAATACAGCACATTAATGGAAGTCTTCAGCACCTCATTTGTTTTGATTCACTACTCTACATTTTGATAGCAGCACCTTACAGAAGTGTGAACAACAGATTTGTTTTAGACAGCAGTCCAGTTCCTACCCTAACAGAAATAGTAATGTTTGCAGGTCTGTAGCAAAAGATGGTAGTTTTGTAGTTATTATATTTCATGAAATAGATCAATTGCTGTTGTGTCACTTACGGTGATTGCTGTGTATGCGTGTGACTGTTCTCTGAAGGAGATATAAATGCAACTGCTCAGGGGCTGGCTTTCAGGACTTTCTGACACGAGCGTTGTTGGGTGAATGTGTTCTTTGTGGGCTAGGCAGCATACAAATATAATAGGCAGTCTCCCTGTGCAGCTGTGTGTTTGTATGATGCTTGTTTATGTAAATGCACCTGTTTGTTTGGAATGATCCCTTCATGACCAACTATTGGATTTCTTCTTCATTCTCTTACCTGTCTCCTTTTCACAGCATTGATATTTAGATCAGTATCATTCAGCTGTCTCTTCCCACTCTGATTTATCGCCTGTTTGGAGCTGAATATAAATAATATGAGAGAATCCTGTATTGATAAACCATACTGCTGACAGAGCTTGAGTTTTGCTGGACTTGTGAAATGCTCTGCTTTTTTGGCCAAGTCTTAGCAGAGTTCACATTGTTCAGCTTCATTGTTCTGAAGAGAAGAGTAGAATAATAGGAGAACAATCTAGCAGAGCTGATTACTACCTCTTGCCTTAATTAGAAGGGGGAAAGTAATGCGAATTTGGTGCTTTGCTGTCCGAGTCTACCTCCCAACGTACTGCTTCACATTTGATAGGAATCTGTCCCGACAGTCCTGCCAGGCATTAGGTAATTGTTTGTTCTCCCTTCCCTGGCAGCTGCTGGTGAGGAGAGCTGCATTAGCACATTCACTGATGTTACTCTTGTCAGCTTTGTGCTCCAGACAAGACACTACTTGCATTCAGCATTTCTTTTCCTTCTCACATCTCATGCATGTATATACATATATATATGTGACAATGCAAATGTACTGTCCTCTGACACTCTGCCTCAGCAGAGATGGACAGGGTCCTCTTCATTCATTTACCTGCCCTAGTTTCTCTCTTTCCTTCCAAAAAATGCTCTTTTTTTTTTTTTCTTTTTCCATTGGCACCTTCACATTATATCAACCTTCCTTCGGCATGTGGGTGCTTTTGGTTTTGACAAATAAAGTTAGGCTGTCAGTCAAATGCATCCCTGCTATATCCATTAGCTGTGCTGCCAGTCACTGGTCCTGGGGCTCTCTGTCACAGTGTAAAACAGTATAATAATTTGCTATTCTGAAGTGATGTAGCTTGAGGGAGAAGTTATAGGAAGGAAGACTGTAATCTCATTACAGAATATTGCAGTATGCTGAAGTCGTGCCTGCATTACGGTTAAAAAAAAAAAAAAAAGCCTTGGCTTAAGGCTGTTTCATCTTAATTTGGGTGGAAATACAACATCTTCCAAAGGCTTATTCTACCTCTAATGCCTTTCTATTACCAGGGACAAACATATCTCTGCAGCTCTGCATGGGTGGCACCTCTCTTGCCTGCTGTCTTGGATGGGTTTTGGGGCTGTCTGGTGCTGCCACTGAAAAATCCATTTGCTGTCGAGCTGCCTTTGGGAAGCTTTATGTCCTAGCTGGTTATAGTAGGCCATTTAAGAAACAACAACAAAAAAAGCTACTGGTATAACGGTGATCTTGCAGACGGCACAGCTCGTAACATCCCTTCCCTCTGTGCACTGCACCAGGGCTGTCTGTCTGCAGGCAGTTTTGCTCTCCAAATCCACGTCATGGGAAGCTCACCCTAAATCGATCCTGGTTAACCTTGTTCGAGGCGATGATGCTGGGACATAAATCATGAGCTTAACACCAGTGACTCAGCTCTGGGGGAGCAGCGGCTCAGGCGGGCTTCCATCGAGCTGACAGGTGACAGCAGAGGCAAAGCCAAGCTCAGCCTGGTGCCAGGCCTGCTGTCCTGGAGCAGCTGGGGAGGGGAAGGCAAAGGAAAATGGGAAGGACGAGAAGGGCAGCCCTGGTTGAGGCTGGCAGCCCTGCCAGCATGGGTGTCCGCTGCAAGCTCGGGTCTCACCAAACTGCAATAGATCGTAGGCCTGCTTGGAGCAGAGCCCTGGCACCAGCTGTATCACAGCCTCTCTTCCTCTTTTCCAACCCCCTCTTTACACCCACCTGCTTCTTTAATGTGTTCCTTTTTCGTCGTCTGCTGAGCTTTTCCTGATCTTTATTTTTTTTAAGAATGGGGAAGGAAGTTGGTGTGTCAGTTTTCTGGTAAACACGCATTGCGTCCCCCGGGAACGGCAGAGGCAGAATCTTCCAGGAAAAACACAAGATGACACATAAATCCTCATAAAAATCCCATTTACAGATTCATAGCTTCAGCACAAGAAACAAATCCTGGCATTGTGCAGAAGCTATAAACAGCACCATGTGTGCTAATTATGATTTGCTGTGTCCCAGGCAGTAATCTGTAGCTCCCTCCAAGCAGGGGAGAGGTGGGAGAGGACCAGAGTGGGACGAGCAGCAAGCACAGCCCTCTTGTGATTTATCCAACAGGCAGAATGGCTGCTCTGCCATAGGCTGCAGCAGAAAGAGAAAAAATAAGAGGGCTAGCACTCCAGGTGAAAGAAATTGGCTTTAGGCTTCGTTAATCCATAGTAGGTGATGTGCAAGCGTGGCTAGGTAAACACGCCTTTGAAATGCATGTTTAATATTCTGCATGCTCACCACTGTACGTGTTTGCAGCGTCTGTACTTCAGTGATAGATGTTACCACAAGCTGCCCAAATCGGCTGCATCTATTTAGTCAGCTGCAGTAAAAGCTTGGTTGTTGGTTTGTGTGTTTTTAGGAGGCTGCTGGTATTTTATTGTTCTCATTTTTTGGTGTCAATAAATCAAATGCACGATTGCTCTAGCCTAATAGTTTGCAGGTGTATTACTGTCAATTTTTAAAGTGTCGTTCAGTCCCCGCTGTTAAGCTTAAATTAAGCAAAAACTCAGTGTGGTGTTTTTCAGCTTAGTGGGCTATTTGGAGAGGTATGATCTTTGTTTATGCTGGAAAACTTCAAGGATGGTTGTTGGGCGTCTATATTTCTGCTGCAGAGAACAGAAACACCTGCAACTTCCATTAATTCCAGCTTCAAGGTAACTGCCTTATTTTGTAGTGAGATGTTTTTGTTTAAAAGTTTTTTTCTCTTAACCCCACAAGGGACTTTCTTTGGATTGATTAGCAAAAAAAAAAATCTGGTTTTAATATTTGCTATGATGCTGTAATTCTGTATGCCTCTGAAGTATTTGGTTAGTGCTGTTGCTCACAGGGGTGGACCCCAGAGTAACAGATCGTTCCTTTAAAGGCATTTCTGCCCTCAAATTACTGGGCATTAGACTGGATCTGAAACATTTGGCACTCGAAAGCAGGTCAGCCCACAAGTAGTTTGTGCCTTATTAAAAGCTTGAGCTCCATTCAGTTGACACTTGGTAACTTCATTGTGGATTTGAGACTTTTCAGCCATAAAAACATTGGCTCATGAAAGAAACATCAGCGCAGCTGACAGCGCTCACTGAGCCGCCCACTCGTGTCACTGAACAAAATGAGCATACAGCTTCACGGGGTCAGGGATTTTGTGTGTCTGGACCAGATGCCAAGGTTAGAAGAGTGCTTCAGCAGGGGATAATTAGCTTTCAGTGAGACCTTCTCAGCAACTTTCTCCTAGCTAATCTCTTGGAAGGAAAGCTGTTATAAATTACAGCAGAGTAAACCTCTGATGCAACCGTTGCACTGTTTGTGGTCGAAAGAACAAAGTGAAAACTGAGAAGTATGGCCACTAGTATTTAAAATAAGAGATGACCTTCACAACCCCCCATTAATTATGCATTATCTCTGCCCTAGGTATCTATCTTTTATATCATACATCATAGCCTCCGCGTTTCAATTTTTCCCCTGTATGTGGCTGCAGGCCATCCGAAGGTTGTCTGCAGAAGGTCATTTCTATATACTCCTGGGGTTTTTGTGCTTAACTCACCTGAGGACTGAGTAAGCTGCATTTTTGGCCCATCTCCCCTCTGCCCTTTCCTTTCCCATTCGCAGTTTGGCTCACCCATGCATTTCTGAGTCTCGCTCAGTTTGTTATCCATGATAACGTCTTACAGGAACCCAAGAAGATAAAAGGCCTTTGAAATTTCAACAAAACTGCCTGTGTTGGGCACGGGAAAATGATCAGCCTCTCCTCAGTAGCATCTGCAGTACCATCCCAACACTCTGTAGATCCCAGAGAAGCCACGTGAAGGAGATAGCTGTAGGTGTGCTCAGAACAACTTGTTCTTCATCTCTTGGCAGCCTTTACTCTATTTTGATACAAAGAACAATTAGGTAAAAAGTGTCCTTTACCTGGAGAAGGAGCTGTCCTCTCAGTTCCAACCCTCAATTGCGCTCTACGAAAAGTTACTTTTGAGGCTTTAAATCATAAAGAAGCTCAAGTACTGAATGTCAAGGAGAACGCTCTGATTTCAGACTTTGTAAAGAGAGTTGGGTGGTGATGAGGGGGGAATTAAAGCAGAGAGGTGGAACAAGATTGTCTTTGTCTTATTATGATCCTTTAATCATATTCCTTAAAAATGAAAGATTTATGGTGTGTGTGACTTAAAAGGTGTTAATTGAACCACTTAGTTGCTGCAAATCCCAAAACATTTTTCACCTGTCAGCTCCTGTTTTCCCTCCCAGTCTATCCACAAATGGTTTCCAAGTGAGTGTTAACCCCTTGTTAATACTATTAGGATAAGTGGTGCAGAATGTCTAGCTTGGTCTTCACTGTGCCAGATCTAATGGACATGCTTTAGGGCACAGAAACCCTTCATTTTTCTCTGTTTATATTGATTGCTGTGATAATCTATTGCTTCTTACAAGCCTGACATTCCTTACATCCTTAGGCATTCTTTGGTCTAGCGCATCTCAAACAGCACTGTTAAACTGACCTTTATATTTTTCTATCTGCTCAGTAGTTCTAAAGTTTCATCATTAGGGGTGATTTACTATTATTATTATTATTATTATTATTATTTACACTATGTGGTTACACAGTTACCCTCTTCATTGTTCGTTTCTAATCAGCCAGGCTGGCACCTGCCCATCTGCCTTTCTCTGCTCCTGCTGATGCTGCCTGTCTGACATGCTCTCAGAGCTGTCTGGATGGAAGAGTGCTTTTTCAGAGATTTGGCCCTGTGCTGCATTCTTTCTGCTCTTCTATGATGGCTAAACTTAGATATGTTTCTCTTAAGCTGTCTCCTTGAAGTTCTGGCTTGAATGAAGATAAGATGACGAGAGGAACAGGTTTAAACACACAGGTATGGTGCAATGCCTGCCCCCTGCCAGTGCTTGGAGACTGCTCCCAGCCCAGGGCCTTGTGCTGTAGCTGTGTAGGGCTGTGAGCTGCTGCTGCTTCCGTCAGTGGTCACCCGGTAGCAGGACTCCAGATGTCAGCCATGGTTATCTCTGGACTGCTGCAGTCCTTGGCGGGCAGTGCCTGCCAGCTGCATTTGGTCCACAGGGAGCCACTTCATTCTCAGAATGAAGCTTCAGGTAAATCATCGACTCAAGATTTGCCTTTGTGTTGGCACCCGGAGGTGGTAGCGTGGACATAATGGTGATATCTCCTTAATGATACATTTGGGGATGGTACCTACAAGGGCAGAAGACACGCTTTCTAATTAATGACTTATTCAGGAAAAGCATAGCCTGAGCAGTATTGCCTCAGCCCTTCTTTTAGCACCTGGTGGTACAAGATAATTATTTATATGAAGTGAAACTTTGAAATTTCTGAATGTGAAGTTTTGCAAGTAGTAGATGGCTGTTGCAAGAAATAAATGTCCAAGAGTGAGAACAGGCTCTACGTTGGTAGAGGTGAGCACAAGGAGTGCAGCTGTGCTAAAGGAGGTTGCCAGTAATGCACTGAGGAAGGAGAGTTCTGAAAGCTTTCTCTGAGCATTGCAGTGGTGTGAGAGATTTGTTGAAAACTGGTCCTGTTGGATGGCTTGGTCTCTTTTTAAGTTAGATTAATGTGTACAGAAGAGCAAGGCAGAGCTAGAAGGCTTGGATCACTCAACGAAGTTTCCTGTTGATGCAAGCACTGACAGCATGTTATTTCTTTCACATATTTCTTTCAATTTGTTTTAGAAACCAGCTGGGTTTCTTGCTTCACATTACTCAAATAAACTTGTTGGTGCTACAGTTAAATAGCAGTCAGCTGAGATTAGTGGTTGGTACTTATAGTCCCCTTGTAGTTTTAAAATTGACACCCCCAGTAAATCTGAGCACTGTCAAGAGTAGGACACCAGAGCTGTGCTAATCAAAGAACAATGGTGTTTATATTTTTAAATTGCATTAACAAAGGAAAAGGATTTTCCCATATTCAAGTGCCTTATTCCTGAGGAAAACAGGATATAAGTGTACAGTGGAACCAAGAATTTGCCAAGGTAAAATACTCCCAAGTGATTCCATGCATCTACACCATATTTCAAAGTGCAGCTGCAGTAATCAAAGGGGGACTAAAAAGTTAGGCAATCCTGGACTTTTAGCTGTATTGTTGGTTAAAACTTGGTCCCGAGGCTGCCCTAATCTAGTTAACTGTGTCAGAGTGGCTTGACCTGCGTGAACTGGCTCTGTCAGTTCAGTTTCTGCTGCATGCATAGCGGTTGATACCAACTGGTGTGCTTTTGTGCCAGATGGTCCAAAAATTGGTGAGCAAGTATTACAAATTTGCTTACCTCTGTCACATTTTCACGAGGCAGAGCGGAGGCATAGTGCCAGAGCGATGTGAATGTGACTTGGCAGTACTGTTGGTCCTGTTTTGTCTGCTAGCAGTTAGTTTGTCAGTGGAATTGTCATTTAGTTTTTATGCCTACTTAATTCCGTTAAGATATAAACCCATGCAATGCACTTCCCAGTCAGCAGCATTTCCTAAATGGCCCATAGCAAACAAACTGCTGTTTTCTTCTGCATAAGAAGTGGGCTTTCCACATTTGCTGATATCTGGAAATACTTTTTCAGAAGTTACAGGCTTATGTAAGTAGGTATGTGTATACAGAACTACATATGTGCCAGGGAGCAAGACTGTTTATGCCTTCTAGGCAGGCCTGTGCTTTGCGTGTATAGCTTTTCTTAGGTAAGTAGTTATCTTTGTAGTAATAATAAAGTAGTAGCTATTGGTAAGAAGTTAGGTCATCAAACACTAAGCTCTCTGTGAGAGTTTTTGAGGAATTAAAGCCAGGACAATAGCTAAATTAGAGATGAATGTATCCAAAAAATAACTAACTCAAATCCTAGCACTTTGCTTGCTGAAGTGATGTCGTTCTGTCACTCACTCCTATATGATGTTTTTCTTTTAGCTTGTGGGTGGAGGTTTGTTGTTACTGGTGGTTTTTGGTTTTGTTCTTTCTCAAGTGTTTCAGTGGCATGGACTGAATGAATCACAGAATAATCTAGGTTGAAAAAGACCTTCAAGATCATCAAGTGTTGCACACTTTTTAAAGTCTAATCACCTGACATATTGCAAGGTACGACTTAATGAAAATCTGACCTGGCTTTTTATTTTCTTTTTTTAAAGCTGTATCAGCTGGAGTAGTTACCACAAGAACCTGCTAGCCAGCAGCGACTATGAAGGCACAGTCATCCTATGGGATGGGTTCACGGGACAAAGATCCAAGGTCTACCAGGTAACATGTAATCAGCAAGCAACGCTTCTCTGCACTACAGACTGTGTCGAGGGAGCAGCGTTCAGATTGAGATGCTGCTTTTAGTCCAGCAGTAGGTGAAATAGGTGCAGCTTCTGTTTGACAAATGTCTTATCCATGTGATGTTATTGAGCTGTCTTCCTCTGAGTGAGGCAGCTCTGTCTCGTCACAGTCGTGAGGCAGTTGATGTTTTCTTGCCACCAGTCTTGCTGTTGCTTCTAGGTAGGGAGTTTGCACAGGGAGAAATGAGTTCCTGGAACTTATTTGTCTCACCCTTCTTTAGAAACCTTTGTCTGGCTCTCTCCATACCTGCTCCACGTCTGTCTTTGTCAAAAGCCTTTTGTGAAATCCTGCAGTGATTACTGTTATGGGTCTTTGTAAAGCAGAAGAGCCAAATGCAGGCTTATGTAGCAAGCCTAGGAGAATGGAACTGTAGGCAGAAGGCTTCCCAGTACGGTCCTGTGCTCAGCAGAGCAGTGTGTGGATATGTGGACTGAGATCAACCATTAGACCTATTTTGTGATAACTTTGTGGTACTTTGTCTTTTCATGCAATTTGAACACTTTTTTCATTGAATGGATCTGAGAGCCTTGCGATCAGAACAAGGAGGTTGGAAGTAAAGGTGGCCTGGTGTTGTGAGGTTGGAAGTGCTGCAGTGTGGTGTGTAGGTAGAACACTGCATTGAAACTGGTCTGTGCAGGCAAGCCTTCAGTTCTTCTTTCTTGACAGTTCTACATAAGTTTTAATTCCTACTTAAAGCCTTGTTTACTTTTTTCATTGTTTTAGTCATTTACAATGTTTGTTGTCATTAATCCTGTACATATGTCAATTAAACAGAAATGGTGCCGGACAAAATCTTGTCTGTTTTCCTCCCATATACGTTTTGCATTTCTTTGAGACTCAGTAATGAGCCAAGAGAGGACCCAGCTGTTGCTTGTGTTAAAACAAACTGATTTTGCTTCCTATTGGATCACTTGTATTTTTTATTTAGATTTACAAAGATAAAGGCACACACACTGACATCTGCCTCACGTGTATTAGAAATCCTTTAGTGACTTTGTCCTGGCGAGCTTTTCATGTTATCATCTTGTTTATAGGCTTTAAACAAAGGGTTTGACTGAATTTCAGGTTTCATTCAGCGCAGTGCTTTTGATTCCACACGAGATGTCAGCATAACAAATATAGCCCTTCTGTGTTTTGTGTGCAGGCTTGAAAGTGTATGTTTGAGTGGAGAAACACTGAATTAGACACCAGAAGTGCTGTTTAATAGTTCGATATGAAGATGAGGGCTTCCAGGACTTTCTCATAGAAGATGTTCTAGTGGCTTTAGACATCTTAATCAGTATTGGGAGACAAAGCTGTATTTTGTTAGAATAATTAGCAGCACACGTTGGAAAAACAGCCAAATCATACTGGAAAAACAGATCTTTAACATATATTTCTTGAAATCATAATTGCTTCAAATTTAAAATTCAAATTGAAAAAAAAATCAGTGTTAGTTCTTAAAATTGCTGTTATGCTGCTGGCTTCTTTCAAGCCATGTTTAGCATGCTACAAGCATTAATCTGAACGGGGGAAAAGTTTTTTAGAAACCACCAGAAGGCCCAGGAATAGCCTGACAATTTATAGCAAACAGCATGCATTTTTCTTTCACTGCTTGATCAGATTACAGCTCACTGCTTTGAAATATTTGCCTTCTTTCTCCAAACAGGAGCATGAGAAAAGGTGCTGGAGTGTTGACTTCAACTTGATGGACCCAAAGCTATTAGCTTCAGGCTCTGATGATGCAAAAGGTATTGTTGTTTTTTTTTTTTCCCCTGTCTCTGTGCAGAAGACTTACACTTTCTGCATTCCCTCTGAGGAACAGAAATGTGATAATTCAAATAGCTGATTCCTCAGCTGCCTTCAGAATTGTTGGTGTGGTAACGTGTCAAGGTACCACCGAACTGTTCAGAACTCAGAGTGAGAGCCTTTTTTGGGATTAAGATTTCTTGGTGTGACGTACAGCTTTTGGGGTAACATACCCTCTAGCCAGCATCTTCCAGAGCACTAAAGAAAATCAGGTGTGTTTTAACATTAAGCTTGTTGAGTTAAAGCCTCAGGGCCTTTCATAAGAACAGCATGTATTTATGTTTCAAAAAAGTAGGTTGTCAGGCAAAAAGCAGACACTGAACAGCAGCAGGCGTTTTTAACTATAGGTCTGAACATTAAATGTCCTGCATGACAAGAAGCATCTCTCTTTCACAACGTGTAGGGTGTTTTTTTTTTCCAGAGCTTACTGAGGTTGGGCAGTGGACTCAATGGGATCGTTGGGAGCAACTCTCAACTTTTCGTACTCAAAGATCCATTGGTCAATGAGATTTTGGAGAACCCTTAAGGCAGCTCTTTCCCAACCTACCTGTGGGTAAACATTCCTCTTCTAAGAGACAGGAAACATCTGAAGAAGAGGATAACACTGAGGAATATGTAACACGTGTAACATACTTCATCCCTAATGAAAAAGATTTTATCTGTAATGCGTTTACAATAACAAATTGCTTATCAAGCAAGAAGAGCTTTAGAGTTGTTTAATAATTTCCTTTTGTAGTCAGTGGAGATGAACTCTGCTAGATGGACTAACGGAGCCCTGGTCAGAGCTGTTCATGATTTGCTTTGAAATGATAAATTTTGCACAGCAATTAAACCTTGAAAACCTCTAAAATGCTTTTAAATACTGTTTCAAAAGAAGGCTGTGTTAATGTTAGTCAAATGCATTTAATGCTGTTCATGTCATTGGCGATTTCATTTAGAAAATGTAGCTTTAATGATTATTTTGTATATAAGGTACTTTTTAATATACATATATTTTTTTTACACTTTCCCCCTTATGGTTGATAGCCAAGAGTGTTTTGTGTGTGCCTAAATGCAGTGTGAACGTTCACCTTGTAAATTATCTGCCTTTCTATCACTTTGCTCCCCACTCATGCTGTGCATTTGAAGAAGCTTATCCACCATGTGGACACGCATTTATTAGCATGCTAACAAGTTGTCCAGTTGTGGAAACCAGCTGCAAGCAAAGCTCTTGCCTCTAACTTGACAGTTCACTTCTTCAGTAACAGTTTTTAAGAGTGACGTTTACTTAGAAATTATTGTAATAAAGTCTGCAGATCCACTTAAATGGCATTTCAATCCTCAAAGGTCTTTTGAAGGCATGTTGGTGAGCTTTTTTTAGTGAATAGAACTGGCCTGGAACATTTTATCTTTTACCTCCACCACAGTTTGCCTGTGATTTGCATACAAAACAAGCAAATAAATGGAGCCCTGTGTGAGTGTTAGAAATAAGCACTGCTTTTAAGTCTTTCAGGTACAAAGCAATAGTAGCAAACGTCCAAATTGAACTGTCATCAGTGTCCAACTTTCATTTCACATAAAAAGGGTTTAATTTGAGGAAGAGGTAATACCTATGAATTGTCTTCTCTCATAAATTTGCATAACTTCTGTTTTTGTCTTTCTACTTACCTTAATGAGTGCTTGACATCGTTCTGTCCAGCTCTGGATGTGCATTCAGGACATATTTGGCCAGGTGCAGCATCTGGTGGGAAATATAAGAGCTGCATACTCTTCCTGGTCTCTTTTCCTTATCTGCTTTTAAGGCCACACTGGACTTCTTAACAAGAAATTTCAGTGTTGATAGATATTGGTGTGACCAGAGCAATTGGAACTAATCTCTCCATGTTTCTCTAGAAGGCATGGGTGTAAAATTTTTCTGTCAAGCATTCAGGACAAGCCAGCAAAAAAGTGACAGCTTAGCCAGTTCTTCCTGCTTGCCTGTGTATCAGCCTGTCTCTTCTGAGTCTTTTCAAGTTGGAGGCTAATTTTTAAAGCGCTCTGTATCCTCAGTAGGTATATATTGGGAAAGGAGATTTTAGATTAATAATCCTGTCATTGGTGCTTCACAACTGTCTCTGCCAGGGCTCAGACGCAGCAAAGAGGATGCTAATGAATGAAGTGTCACAAAGGATAAAATGCTTCTGATACAGTAAGAAACAACATCCTCGGGTCTTGGGTCCTGCATCAGCTTCTTCATTAGATGAACATAATCCAGGATGCTTATTTGTGCAAGATCTTTGTGCTTTAATAGTAGATAATGAGAGCGCAAAAGCATTAATGTACTTGAAATAGCTACTGTGTGCATGAAAGCACCATTTTGTCTATGGTTGTCATGCACTTCCCTCTTAACGGGGCAAAGGTAGTTGAGTATCTCTATGGAGACCCAAAGGTGCATGCCACCTAGATGGCAGTCAGCAAAATTAGTGTTTACTTGTGATACAAGCAGCCTAAGGAAACTGCATGGCCTTAATTTCAGCTCTTTTATTCACATAATAATGGCAGAGCTATGATTCTCATGTAAGTAGGAAAAAGTGAAGTTTTGCGCTTTGAGCAGAGAGAATTTAATTTTGTGACTGTGCAGATGATATTGAAGTGCTGGGTAGTGCTGGAGCTAGAGCAGACTTGCAGCTCTTCCTGAACTCAACATTGCTATGAGTTCTGGGCTGAGAATGTAGTTTAATGGCCAGAGTGAAGTTAGTAAATGAGATAGTGAGAGCAAAATATTACCTGTTGCCATGCAGGGAGAATTTAAATCTTTACTGAGGCAGTTCTGGAGCAATCAAGTCTGTATTCCCTGTTCTGATCTTTCTGAAGCTCTCTGATGCTTGCAGAGATGCTAGCAATAATGACTAGTTAAATCATAGAAGGAGAGTTGGCTTTATGTCCTTTCTTAGCTGAAGTCCCTTCACTATTTCCAGCTCAAAATGGAGAGCTGGAGCAGAACAGAATCAGCTGCAAGGGTTCTGAGCTATGGTGAAAGGTTACTTTTCATTGCCTCTTGACAATGGGGGAAAGCAAGTATTTGTTTTATTACATACAAGAGAAAATTATTTCCTTGGTAAGTGAGGCCATGGATGCCAATCCTGCAGCTGTTTCTCATAGTACCTGTGATGGGGCAACATAGTTTCACTCAGTTGGCCTCATGGAAGTGTTCTGACAACTGCAGGTCAGAGCATGTTTCCAGCTGTGGTGAGGATATCAGAGGTTTGTTTGGTGCCTCATTTTTAATGATAGTTAGCTCCTTCAGCTTCTACTGATTCTCACTGGAGTTGTAGATGTTTACAGCTCTTCAAATATCAGGCTGAACTTTCAGGTTGTTCTTTTTCCTGGCTAATAGCAGTTCAATAATTTCCTGGAGCTTCGAGGGCCATTGTATTCAACTGGGAGTGCCTCAAAAGGTCAAGATGATGCTGGTAGGTAAAGTGGCAACCCAGATACCTGACTGACAGTCTTAAACTTTCAGTGTGCAAGGAGTCATTGCCTGCTAACAATCCAGAGTTTATATCATGCTCCTGACCTTACCGTCAGTGTGCTGATTTCATACATCAGCCCCTTCAGTTATTGCAATGCCAGTGTGCTGATTTCATACATCAGCCCCTTCAGTTATTGCAATGCAGGTTTCCACCTCCTTTATTAGTTAGTGTTTGGTCTACAGAAGATTAATTTATAAATTTGGTCCTGAATAAAAAGAATCTTAAAAAGACTTACGCATTTGAAATGGAGAAGGCTGTTCCAGAGCATCTTCTTTCTTGTGTGGTGAGGAGTGGACACTTGGCCACTTAGCACTGCATCTGTCAGTAGCAGCAATACTAGGAAACGTGCTTTGAGAACATGTTGTAGAACTAGCCAATCTCAGATGGTTATTTGCCTCATTCACACAATTCTTAGTGATAAAGACATCTGTATATTGTATAATTACTGCCTCGACCTCAGCTCTGAAAGCTACAGTAAATAAACTCTTATGAATTATGCTTTATTAAACTGTCAGTTCTTTATGAAAAAATAATGGACAGTTGCAGGTAGAACTTGACAGGTTTCATTATGTGTTGTTACACGTTACATATATCCTTTTTTATGGCACTGACTAAGATATAATTGAAGCCTACTATATCCCACAGCAGCCAGATCACAGAAATTGCTGCAGACTCTAATCTGCATCTGTCAGTTGCAACGAATATTATGATGGCTTTGAGTACGCAGGTTGACTCTTCTCTAGATAAATGGCAATGCAGTGTGACCTGAAGACTTGAATGAAAAAAACTGAAGCTGAATCGTAGCCCTCATGTAACTTCTGCATCAAAACTGAGACCTGAGGCTGTTTAGTAGAGATGGTTTCAAGAAGGAAGTAGGCTACTTTGGACACTACATTAAATGTCAGTCGAAGCTGGAAGGCTTCAAGATGAGTCTGTTTGCTTTTATTCCTGGATTTGGGAACAACATAGCTCTAAATTGTGAGAACACTTAACTTTTCTGCGTGCCTCAAGTTTAAGCAGTGTCTGCCAACAGCGTCCTCTACAGTGACAGCATTATTTGCTTCCTATACTGTCACATTCATAAATGTGATGTCCTCTACTGCCACTGCAACTTAGAGTGTATATATCTTGGTGTCTGTTCATTAAAATAAAATACTAGTGTTATATTACAGTGCAAAATTATCTTTCCTAGCTTTGTGCTTCCCTTCTGTCCCGCAGTGAGAAATACAGTGGAGGAGGTATATCTTCCAGTCTGATTTGGGGAAAAAAAGAGCATCTTAAGCCATGTTTACAAGGTTGTTAGTTTTATTTACAAACGCAGCTAGATGTTTAAGGTGAATATTGCAGCTCAGGTAAATAAGGATAGATTTACTTCTGAAAACCAACAACAGCGTGGGTGCTGTTTTCATTGAATTTTGCGTAATGGCTTTATGTAAATCCGGTATGCATCAGTGTTTGTGTTTCTGTTGTCTTCACGCTGCCTTGTAATGGTTCCAGGCAGCTGTCAGATGCCAGCATAGTGCTGTATTTGAAAATGATGTGTTGCTGTGCTCTGAGCAGTTTCCTCCATTCCTGTAGCCATTCTCCAAGGTATGTTCAGACATTGCCAGCTTTTCATTAATGGCAGTACTATTAAAAAGTAGGAGCATTGGAAAGAACCTGCCAACATTCCTTCTTTTCCTTGACTTAAGACACCCCCAATAATCCACACTGAAGCCTTGCTTTTCCTTCAGAGCTCCAGGGAATGAATGACCAGGAGAAAGTACAGAGGAGCGCTCTGCAAGTGGATGCAAGTCCATTCCAACTCAACATGAGACTTCTTATTTCACTGCTTTACTGACTACAGTGGAAAACAAGATTCCTACTCTTTGCCATTTTTACTCACTCCTTCACCTCCAAAGCAAGCCTTCTATCAAAAGATGGCAGAGATGGCCTCAGATCTGAATAAGCCTAACCAGCTCTTGGAGCTGTTACAGGGTTTGAGCCTCTGTGTATCTCCTACACGCTCAGCTTCTTAGCTTTAGCTTGCTCTGCCTCAGAACACAGTTTGTGATGCTCAAGTACAGCACAGCTTGCTGTAGACTTAAATTAACCTTGCTGATGCTTGTATGCTGTGTGCAGGGCATCTGTACCTGTGCCAATGGTGTACATTTTCCAACTATCTTCAACTCCACCAAAAGCAGCGTGGTCATCAGTCAGTGTGAGCGAGGTGACCGTCCCCTTCTGCTCTGCCCTGTTCCATCTGGAGTACTGTGTCCAGGCTGGGGCCCCCAGCACAAGAAGGCTGCAGAGCTGTTGGAGCAAAACCAGAGAGGGGCCACAAAGATGCTCAGAGGGCTGGAGCACCTTTCCTATGGAGAACGGTTGAGGGAGTTGGGCTTGTTTAGCTTGGAGAAGGGAGGGCTCCAGGGTGACCTCATTGTGACCTTCCAGTACATAAAGGAGGAATCCACTGGAAAGCTAGGGAGGGATTTTTTGTAGGAATTAGACAGTGGTTAATGGGCTTTAAACTAAAAGAGGGTAGGTGGAAGTTAGATACGAGAAAGAAATTCTTCACAGGTGCGGTGCTGTTACAGGCTGCCCAGAGAAGCTGAGGGTGCCTGGGTGCCCTGTCCCTGGAGGTGCTCCAGGCCAGGTTGGACAGGGCTCCGGGCAATCTGATCTGATGGGTGACAGCCCTATCCACTACAATGGCATTGGAACTAAAGGATCTTTAAGATACTTTCAAACTCAAACCATTCTGTGGACTGACCATGTGGAGAGCACCTATCTTCTTCTTGAACGTTAAACGATGCTTGAAGTTTTTGTAGAGAGAGGAAAAAGCTAAATTTTGAAAAGCCACTGGTGTTTTCTGTTGATCTTCCTGTGAAGCACTGTAGTACTTTTGGGGAAGAGCTTGTTCTGTACAACATAGTTTAATCAGTGTTCACACAGCAGTGTTGAGAAACAGTAGAGTTCTTTGTACCAAGGAAATATATCATCATAGGAAGCTAGCATACTGATTTCTTTTCTGTCTGTGCCAGTTTCTTGAGAATAAAACAAGTTGTTCTTACTCGCTTGTGTTTAAGCATACAATTAGGTGCATTTATTAAGTGCAAAGCAGTTCTGCCTTGGAGCATGGAGTTCTGTACATCTCAGCAAAGGAACAAAGAACAAAAGGGGTTTAAACACTCCTGGTTATATGGATCTGCAGTCCAGAGATCTTAAACGTTGAGATTATAACGTAACAGTGAGTCATCTGTTCGCACCCATCACGTGTGTGATGTCACGTATGGGATGTGTGCCTTCCACATCTCCTGAGTGTATGGGGATGAGTAGAGTGTTGATGTAGCTGGGAAAGTTATCAGGCTCGGTAGCCATCAGTGAGAAGCTGATCATTTCTAATTGTTAACAGCTTGGCAAATGAGGTTGTTCATAATCTTAATAATGAATGAGATTCTATACTTTTCAGATGGAGTTGGGAGTTTTTGCTTACTAATTCTTTTTCTGTTTCTCTAGTGAAGCTGTGGTCTACCAATTTGGACAACTCCGTAGCAAGCATTGAAGCCAAGGCAAACGTGTGTTGTGTCAAATTCAGCCCCTCTTCTAGATACCACCTAGCCTTTGGCTGTGCAGGTAGGTGAAAGAATCTCTGAGCAAAGAGATATTGTTTCTTCTTTCCTTTAAGCTGCTTCTTTCTCAAGGTTGGCTGCTGTTCTTAGCAGTGCAGTATCTTTACAGTTAAAATGCCTCTGAGTAAGGCTTTTCAAATATGCAGTCACCCAGAAGGCATCATGATACCCGAGCGTCAACTCCTTCCTGCAGCCTGACTTTAATTTGCCCGTGGATCAGAGAAAAAAGCTCATGAAAGTGAGAGGCACAATGTGTTTATTGAGATAGCTAAAGCAACCAAGCAAATCGTAGCTTTGTGAGTCTTGAAGCAAGGTTAACATGTTAACATGGTGATAGTTGTTCTTTCAAATTTACAGCATTTCTTATGAATAGTAGAAAACCATACTGGAAGTTTCAACTGGTTTTACCTGAGGCGTGCTGTAGAACAGTGGCTGTGCATGTTTCCCATAGCTGCAGCTATGATCCCTGTGCATGGGCTGATGTTTTCCTAAGTTAGTAAAGCATGGTTTTGGGGATTTCTTGATGTCACTGGGAAAGGCACAATGAGACTTCTATTCACTTGGATTAAATAGGTTTTGGTGTCTGTACAAAGTCTTAAAAGCAGAGTGGGTATCACTTCAGGAGGAAACTGCATTGTGCTATGCATGCAGCAATTGAAACTTAAAGGTACCTATAAATGTTTAACCAACTCTGCATTTCCTTTCTCCTCAGGGAGTTTTAATGTGCTTGTAACTAGATGTTCTGATGACACTTGCGATCTCTGGATTTCGGGAGATACGTTGATCGCGTTCTTGCAACAGCTAGTTTGCCATTTTCTTTAGGTGTTCCAATTTCCAGACTGGTTCTACTCAGAATTGACTCTTAGGAGGAAAAAATTCATTTGCATTTTGATACACTGCAAAAAATGGATTCAAGTTGGAGTGTAAAATATTGACTTGCTTGACAGGCATCTTGCTGAAGGTTAGTGAATTACATGCAAGAATAGAATTGAATTACAATACCTACTAGCAGTATTTGAATGAAAGGGGCTATCTGTGAAAGGCTCTAGGGAATGATGAGAGCACTAGCTCCAAATGGATCAGCTACTGATTAAAATAGATACGTAACAGCACCATGAAGCAGAATTCTTCCTGATAAATCAGTGGCAGGGATTCTTTTCCACCTGAAAGGCAGAGGAGAGAATAAGGCACAGATAAATCTATGGAGGTTTTTGGAGCTGTAGGGGCACATGGGATGAAAACAAATTGTGAGTCTATATCTATCAGGCCACAATTCATGCCAAACTAAAACCACGCTTGTCTTCAGCAAGTTAGGTGGGGAAAGAGGCATTAGTGGACAGTAGGGGTTAACTGGAAGCTTCATAAGACTACGTGTACTTTTTTGAGATAGCTGAGGGTCAAACAGTATTTTTAGTATGGAAGAGTGCATAGGAGGAAGGCAGAAGATGATTTTCGTAAAAGGTAAAAGCATCTTAACCATCAGTTACCAAGCATCTTCTTGGAGCTTGGTAATTAAGTCTAAATAAAAAGTAAAATGGATATTTAATGGTGGTTGCGGGAGCAATTATGTGGACTAATTGTACTGATGGGAATGATTTCCCACAAAAGAATTTTAATTGATCTTTCAGCAATAAATACAAGTGAAAAAATGCCATGTGAAACTAACCAAAAAAGAGGGATCTTAAAAGCTGGTTTTATTTCTAAAATTAAAAATTCTGAGCAGAGAAATTAGTTTATTTTACTCTATAGTGAGTATGAAAGTAGGCACTCTCCTGCTTAATGTGTTATGACAGAAGCAGTTTTTTCTTCTCCATCAATTTCAACTGATCTTGTTTACTAATTTCACTGAATCTGTGGTTAAAAAAAAAAAAAAAGTGTAACTTGTGAATAGTGTGTTTGTCATGTGGGGGCAATAACATTAATAAAGAAAGAGAAAAGCTGATTTCCTTAAGCAGTGTTTAAAAAGAAAAGGCATGGGGATGTGGAGGTTCCTGTTTGCTGTCACAGGAATAAAGGTGAGTACTACAAAACGTTGACTCGCTAAGGAGTATAATGGGCAGTTTTAGGAAGTGGGCTTGTCTTTGTGTTGACTTGCTTAGGTGCTCAGAGGAGTTTCAGTTTTGATAATTCATGTCAATTACATTTCCAGTGATTGATCCAATGATAAAGGAGCCCTGATTTCCTAACGTTGCCCATGCAACAGAATTGGGTGCAGCGTTTAAGCAGAAGTGCTGCTCCTGTATATCCTTCATAGTGTTGGTTTGGTGGAATCTGATGCTATATTTGTGTGCTTGTATGTGTGTATATATCCTTACAGCTTAAAGCTTGAGGAGAGAAGCAATTGATGAAATGGTTGGTGGAAAAAGAACCTAATGTTTGAAATATAAAAGGATGATGTGGATTGGTTGAACTATTAAATTACTATATACACCTTCCATTCTCCCTTTCTCCATACATGGGATAGGTTGCAAGTTGGTAGCCTTGCTTAAGTATTGCAGTTCTGACTATAAGTCTGGGGTTTCACTTAGTCTTTGTCACACATTTTGTTTTTCCAATTATTATTTCCCTTTATTTTCTCTTGAGGCTCAATCTTCAACCCTCAGCCCACAGCTGAAATCCTTTTTAGTAAGGCCTTGTTCTTCTGCATCTTGATGAATGAAATGTTTTCCTCTACCTTTGCCAAAAGCATTGTGTCCACTTGCGTCCGTCTGTTCAGAATGCCTCTTTGAAGTAGTTTTTCCTCATCAGATACTTCAGACAGATCAGCATCTCCTTGAATCTCTGTGCTGGTCCCTGCTTTATATTCTCTGCAAAAAACAGAATGGCTACCTTAAGATCCTCCCTGCCTTATCTCTTATTTATGTATCCCTTCTCATTTGTTAGTAAAATGTTGACTCTTTGCTTACCTTTACCACTGATGCTATGGGTAAAATATTCAGAGAGAGATTTGCTTTGTAATTGCATGCTTTCTTCAATTTTTGAAGCATCTCCCTTCCTATTTCTCTAAAATGTCTGAATGCTTGCTAATTTTCATGGTACGAATGATGTGAGCCGAGGCAGCAGCCTGTGGACGTTGTCATCCATTTCCCCATGCTGAGTTCCTCAGAAGATCCCTGCCCTTTATTGGCAGCAGGGGAACTTTCAGCCTTGAACATCGTCATCTGAGAAGGGCTAGGATTGGAATTTATTGTATCTTGGATTTCTTCTGTGCTTCAGTTAACCCACAAGTAACTGGGAATAGTGGTAATGCAAGCAGTAGCTGTGATGTTTGGGTTGGATGTAGCTGTGCTCAAGCATTCGTGCTTTATCTCCATACGAAGTGTCTTCCTTTAGAGTGAAGTACTGGCTTGGCTTTGAGTAGATGCAGCAGAAAACTAGTTTAGTTGCTATTACAGATCCCAGGATTCCCATCTTATATGGATGATACATGTTTCTTTTCTGGACTCTTTAGTCCGAAAGCTTTCAGATGACCATTTTTGTGGCTTAAAACAAAGCAAACAAGTAATAAACTGGAAGTAGAGTCTAAAATAGAGGAATAAGTGTTTGGTTTAGGAAATAATTGTCTTAAAATTTGTCAGGCCCTTCAGGTAAGAAGAAAGCTATCACACCAGACTGCAACCTGATAAAATCCATTGCATTGGAGAGGGCACATAAAGAAGAAAAGATCCCTCCTGTCTGCTACTTTAATAAAATATTCTATTTGCACGCTTACTGAGTTGAAACATTGTGCAGTATAAACTGTAATCACGGACAAATATAAAATTAGGTAATTTTGTGGTCTTTTCCTCTTTTTAAAAATAGATGGGTCTTTATCCTGAAATTAGCTGTATAGATCATGGCCAAAGTTGTTATTGTTCTGCTTCAGCAACAGCATTGATGCTCTCAACCTATATATTTTCGAGCAGTACTGTTTCCTTGCGTTTAGGGGAAAAAAAATAAAAATGGGCTGCAAATGCATGCAGTTGGCAGCTCGAAAGTCCAAGTTCTGCAGTCTGGATGAGATCAGCTTGTCTACCATCTCCAGTGAGCTAAGTACAGCTATTGATAGTAACTATGCTTTATTCCCAGCATGCTGTAATACCGTCAGCAGCTACTGCTGACCTTTTATTTCCCATATATTATGGGAAGATCAGATCATCAAAACTTCGAATTCCTGAGTTCTTGCACTAGATTCATCATCTTCTTTCATGTGGTTTTTCTCCATGCAGGACCCATAAGCGTGGCAGGTTGAGCTGGGGATGAGAGGGGCTCCTCAGTGCTGCACAGCTGCAAGGCAGACTACCTGCTTCCCAGGAGTTGTACAAACAAGTGGAAGCAGCTGATGAGTATTTGTAGACAGAAGTACAGTGGCACATCTGCATCATATTCAGAGCTTAACATTTTGGTGGGTTAGTTTCAACCTCAGTCAGATCTCACTGCGTTGTCACAAACTGTTGACAGTGTGGATTCAGGTGAACTGACCCAGAAAAGCATAGGGCAGCACTCATTGTGTTGGCATTAACGCTTACATAAAACTACACCCTCAGAGGTTGAGGTTGTCTAGGTTGGGGGAGTCTCTTCTCTACGCTCACGCTTCTCCACTTGTTCCTGTCCACGTATTCCTTGCCCGTTCTGTCTCTTTTCCTTATTCCCTTCTCTACTTATACAATGCTGCTGAGCAAGAGCACTGCCCAAGAAACTACCTGTCCTTCCCAGATGATTTTGCCTTTGCCCAGCAGGTTTTGCATGCTATTTAAAATATTTTTTCTTGCACCATCTTCAGCATTACAGAGTGGCATCACGCTCTGGCTTTGAATGCCACAGCCTTTCGTTCCTTGTTGAAAGGCCGCAAAACTAATGATTCTGATTCACAGCATACAACTTGAAAAAGGACTCCTGTTGCTATGTCAACAGCTTTGTTTTGATTTTTTCCAACTGTATCGCCACCTCTTTAATTCTCTGCGCAGCCATTATGCACTTAGAGTTCAAGATCACGTGTCGTTTTTTTAGTGAGCATCATTCAAT